GTAGCACACCGGAAACAGTCACCCAATCTTTCACTTCGGATTTGCTTAAATCATCCATAATATCCATATATGACAATCTTGGGCCTTTTCTGTCTTTTCCTACATACATCTTTTGCTTCTTCCACATTCATGATTCCTTTCACACTCTCTCGGCGCCTCCATACTCACAGAGTGTATTCCTCTTTTAGAAAGTGATCCACTTGGTCAGCGATCTTTTCCTTGTCTTCCACACCCTCTGCTCTCCTCCACACTTACCACATACAACTTCTTATACCTCTCATCTTGCCACATTCTCTTTATTTGTTCATTTGTATTCTTTTTCACCCCACTGCACCAACACTTCCTTTTTAATGATCATAATTCTCCAGATCACAGCATACATATACTGTGGATATTCTATCTCAGCGGTAAACATTTCGCGCTTATGCTTTATTCCTTATACACACGACTCACAAGCATACAACGGATTCGGAAGAACCACATCGTACAGAGCTATACTTGCCTCATCTGAAAATACATTCCTACAACCTAATCGTTCTGTGCACACATCTACTTTTATACAAGCATTTACTCGTCTTCCGATAACCTTATCTATTCTGCTATTCGTTCAATGGTGCTTAAACTTCCTTAACTGTTCTGATGTCTCACTGTTTACCTATATCTTGCACTCACTAATTTGCTCATTTCTTTCAAACATTAAAACTTTCGTTTTTTTCCATTTATTCTCGATGCAATTTTTCGTAAAACTCGTTTACTTCCAACATAAGATAATGCAGTTCAGTTTAGCTTTCGACCAATCAACGATATTATCAGTATACAATAAGCATTTGTACAATTCATCAAACAGTTTCAGAATAATATGGTTTGCAATATGGTTTGATTGTGTGATCAGTTAAAAAACTGATCACACAATCGTTCAGGGATACATTGAATAACCTGAGAAAAATCACATAGTGCTAATGCATGACCGTAGTCTCATTGACAGACACCTTGGTACATTTTTTGCTTTATTTACACATTTTATCACATTATGCAGCTTGCTGTTTACACACACTCATGGAAAAAATCACTGAAGATCTTTTTCCACTTGATCATATGCTTTCTCCAAATTCACAAACGCAGTAAAGAATCTCTTATTCACACCCAAGTACTTCCATCTGGCGCTATATGTTATGATATTTTATTATAAATTTTTTTTAATATTTTTAATTATTAAAAACATATTAAAACAAAAAACTTAATTTTGAAAGTAGAGATAAGTTTTATAAAAACATTCCATTTATCAATGTGAAAATTATTTGCTAATAACAAATAAAATTGTCATTAAATCAGACACTATTGGAGATATAACACGGCCACTTTATCTCCCTACCCCCTACCTTTAAAATTTAAAAGCGTCATTTACCCTAATACAGAAATTTTCGACAAAAAACGCAGGAATGTTTAAACTTCAAAGATGATGAACAAAATTGTCTATCTACAAACCCACTAACCTTTATACATAGAGAAAAGAAAATCTCGAATTCTTCGCATTCCTCGCCGTTTAAATGTGTCCTGAGTCAAAACATGTAAAAATCTTTGGAGACCAATCGCTATACTTTTCTTCTGTTATATATAACAGCCGAAAAAGTGAAAAGAGAACACTCAGTATGGTGCTCCAATACATGAAAACTTGCCTCTCAAAATCAATTCTACTTTATAACATAATAATGCTATCTTTGCAACTGTTTTTATGTGTGTATATTGATGCAATTGATTCGCAATATAACTTATTGAATGTCAACTCCCTTAGCTACATATATTTAACAAATTTTAAATTTTAAATTTTAAAATTTTATTAAAATTTAATATTAAATTATTTTTAATTATGTTCATCTATGATGAAGTAGGCCAAATTCGATTGCACAAAACACGCTTGTTTAGTAATTTATCAGTAGAAAACATTTATCCGGTTGTTTATAAATCTACGAAGAGTACATACATATCAAATTTTGTTACTTCAATATTCACTTCAGCCATCTAATGTAAATAAAGTTGTCTGGAAGAAACTCCTTACAGTAAGCCCAAAAGGAAGTACTATAGTAGATAGAGGTTCTAGAATATACAAGTCATTCGAAAAATAAATACGTATTATAAATTTAACTTTATGCCACAGTACACGTTGTCCGAATTGATACCGAGAAATTTTAAATGGCCAGAAATTAAATTAGATAAAGATTATAAAAAAAGTAAAGTATACAATTTGTAGAGAAAGTTACCAAATTATATTGTAAATATCGGAATTTATTGTTTCTTCGCAAAATTTTACGTGTTTCTCTTCATTCGGAGAGAATATTCAACATTATTCAACTTCCTGATATATATTTTGCAACATCTGCATTGCCTACCTTCCTGATGGTCTTACATGTGTTTTCTTGTAAGATCTCTCTGATTGTCTCGTCATTCTTTTCCATTGAGGTTTTCATCATTTCAACACACTTCCCGTGAACAGAACTTGTTCTTTTTATACCTTTATGTTGTTTCATGATTGAGGATTCGTTGCAAAGACATGGCGTTTCGCTTCACTTTCAACATGCAATTTGGCTTTATTGTAAAGCCAAATTTTAATTTTACAACACAGTTTGATGCGTGAGAAATGGTACAAGTTAGTAAAGGTATGAAATACATGCTTTGTTTATTTTAATTTATCTAGTAAACCGTCCTATAACACAGAAAATGTCATAATGAATATTACTCAGTATTCTTTGATGTCACTCTAATAATGCAATTTCGAAACTATCCGCTGCAGAAAATTATCCTTAACAATATTATTAATAAACATACTTGTAACTTATTTTTCAGTTGGGTTTTACCAATAATAAACAAAGGAAGGAAAAAATTTCTAAAAGAAGATGATGTGTACAGAACATCAAAATATCACACTTCTGAGTACCTTGGGAATTTACTTCAGAAGTAAGTAACTTAATTTACAAGTTAGTGAATTTTATATTTTTCTAATTTATGCATAAGTCTTTGATGCTCATAGATAACATTAATATGAATGACAATGTGAGGACACTTATAAAGTTCTGTACCACTTTACAGCATTGAAGCATTTTCAATTGCTAACTATTATTATAATTTTTTTTTCAGAGAGTGGAACAAGGAACTACAGAAGAGACATTCAAGCATTTTGAAAGCTTTATTGCGATTTGTTGGATGGAAATACTTAATAATACTTTTACTTGCACTAATTCAAGTATTGTAACAACTGATTTCAAATACGTAAAGCATGTATTAAAGTAATTAATGATACTGATTTATATATATAATTTTTTACAGGAAACAGTAGTAGTTGCAGGCCAAGTGTACTTATTGGGATTAACAACATATTATTTTGACAACAGATCGGAATGGAATGAATACAACATCTATTTAACTGTTACAGGATTTTTCGGCCTGACTGCAATTTATGTGTTTACATATAATACTAATACTTTCATGACAGAAGTGTATGGGATGAAGTTAAAGATAGCTTTTTGCTCTCTTATATATAGAAAGGTGAGTGTTAAATATGTAGATACAGTATTTTTATAAATTTTATGTGATAATGTATTGCACTGAAATCTGCTGAGAAATATTACACTAATAAATTAAAAATGTGTTATAAATGAAATTATCCTATCATTCAAAACATATTAGTATTCTGATTATATTACATTTATTAAAATTATTTGTTTCTAAGCATTGCGTCTTATTAATTTGATGTTACATGCAAGTAGTATACAATTTCTGAATGAATATGCAGTTTAAGTCTGCATTTCAGAAAGCCTTTGAACACTGTCATCTTCTTCAGCTTACTAATTTCATTTTTCACAGGATAGAATGAGTTTGAAAAATATTTAATGGTGAATATTCTTACAAAATCGTGAATATTTTATACAAGAAAATCACGATGACAGAAAAATTTGAGAAAATCTGGTAAATAAATTCGTTATATAATTTAGGAGATACAAAGTATTTTGTAAAACACTTATGATCAGTTAATATTTTAATGCTTTGCATGGTGTATTTGATTGCATTTTATCATTTTTACTATCACATTTTCGGCTGTTATAGAATATAACATGAGAAGACCATAGTGACTGGTTGAATTTTGTACCTCGTTTTTTTTATTTTGCATTCCTCCACATTTTTACGCTCCAAGAACCGAAAAACAAAATATAATAATAACTGTACAAAATTATGTACATATGTGTTTGTATTTTTCAGCATTTATTTTTATTTTACATTATACCTGAGGACTGGATCAATCAAAAATTTTGAAACTAAGAGGAGTCATTTGTCATATATAGAGGGTAGTACTAAATATAGATATGGAGGGTAGTACTTATTACTTAACAATACTTTTACTAATTATTAACCTTTACAGATTTAGTAAAAACTAACTTTTAATCTAAGAATTAAGCTCTTTTCCTTTTATAAAAATCAGTATTATAAGAATTATTTTTAGGAGACTGACACAACAAATTAAGCTATGTATAACTTTATGTTTGTAAATTATGATTACTAAAAATAGCTCATGCTACTTTTCTTTTACATATTTGTAATATATTTTTGTTTCTTATTATTTCTTGTTTATTTATAATTTATGATATTTGATTGAGTGTTTTGTTTCTTATACAAAGAGTACAAAGAGTGATAATTTTGTCTTGGCATGACTTACTTCAAGATGTAAAAAAAAAACAAAAAAAAAACAATTTTCCGTTGTTATGATATTATCATAACATTGTTATGATATTTTATTTTAAGAACTTGTTATATTTTCAACTATTATAAAATGGCAAAAAGTTTAATTTGAGAGTAGGGTTTGCTTTTATAAAACTACAAATGTTAATAACAAGTAAAATCGTCATTAAGTCTGACCCTACTAGAGATTCACACGACCCTTATATTTTCTCAACCCCTCGATCTTTAACCACCAAAATTGAACAGCAACAGTCTACCTATAGACAAACCTCTCTGCAAAAGTATAGAAATTTTCGATAAAAAGCACAGGAGCTTCAATCAGCGTAAACAAAATTGTGCTTCCCCACACACACCAGCATCCATATTTACAGGAAAAAACCGACTCTTTTCGAATTTCTCGATGTTTCAAAGTCCCATGAGTACAAAAGTGTAAAAATCATGGGTGTCATTTTTCGATCAATCTCCATACTTTTACTCTGTTATATGTAACAAATGAAGCAATTATAGTTTACGATCTGAATCTATTGTCTTCTACGAATATAAGTATCGTGAAAGTAACCATATACAACAGATTTTTCTTTTTAATCTGTTATTAGCGGGTTACCTATTAAACTTGACAAATAAACTTTTAGCTAATTGAAGATTATACAAACGATTATAAAGAAATGAAAAAATGTATATATTTTTATATAAAATTTTGATATGCAGGCAATTAGGTTAAGTCCTTCGTCTCTAGAAAAATCGAATGTAGGACAAATGGTAAACCTTTTGGCAAATGACGTTTGCAAATTTAATAATGTAAGTAGAAGATGATTTTTACATAGTATTATTGTATTTACTGTACTAATACTTAATCCAAAAATAAAACAAAATGTTAAATATATATATATATATATAATATCTTTTCATTTCTTTACAGAATATTTACTGCTTTTCATATCTATTTACAAATCCTTTTCTAATTGTTGTGACGATACTCGTGTTGTGGCAGTATTATGGATGGACTATATTAGTAGGATTCTTGGTTGTATTTTTTTTCATTCCTATGCAAATTGCATTGAGTAAATTATATTCAAAATTGAGGTAATTATTTTAAATTACGCAATAGTAGTATATTTATAAACAATTAAATGAAATAATGTATTATTTAATAATGATATAACGAAATATTTAAGATGAATAAAATGACATACAGGATGATTAATCAAAATCTATGATTGAGTAGTGCCGTGGCCGAAAACTCTAAGGAGTCCAACAGTGGATGGGCAAAAAAAGACCAATTTTCCTGGGCCTCTCGTTAACAGAAATCCCCAAACCAATTTTTTAAAAGAATATTTTCGACCAAAAATTTCTTCGAATAAAAATGTATGTACTGTACTTAACACGATACGTAAAGCTCCCAATTCAAATTTGTCTGGGTCCCATGAAACTATAAAACGCCAATGGGATCCAAAATATATCGGCTGTCTCTTATTGTAAGTGGTGCCTATCTATACAGTTAAACAGAAAAATTATTTATATTTTTTAACTGCGGAGCTAGCACTAGTTTAAATACTATTGGGGCCCATTAGAGTTTGACCATGTGCTAAGTTCTGTGTCATGTATTTTACATTGGATCAGGAAACAATAATATAGTGGCTACATAAATGTTAACATGGTTTAATGTACTAAATAGAAATTTTACATTGAAATTAAATACTGTATATAATGAATAATTTCAGCCTTTTCTTTAAGATTGCCTTTAAATATTAGTTAAATGTCTAGAACCGTGGTTCTTAACTCGGCGTGAATGAGGTGAGAAATTGTTACACCAGTTATGAGGTGGGTAGGAGATACCCGAAACTTTGATGCCGAATCTTTTATACTATAATTGTGTATAAAGTATTTTTTCGCTTGGGATAATAAGAACAGTATCTATCCAACAAGATGAGTAAATAAAATATTATGTTGAAGATTGAAAAACATTTTTTTTAATTAATTGAAATAACAGTGTCTATATTTTCTTTGAAAAACTACAAGTTTTGGTAGTTTAACATTTTTTTGTATAAAATTCTAACAAAATTACAACTTCTTTGGTTAATCAACATAACTGTAGTATCTTTCAATTATAAAAATAGAAAAAAAAAAAACTAAAAGGTCTTATGAGATCAATTTGCACAGCACCAACATTACACCTACAAATCAGCACAATCTCCACACATAAAAATCGCATGCTTCATACATTTTGGCTTCTCACACTTCAAACAGCAATGTTTTGTTTTCCTATCTGTTTCTTAGCACACTCACCACATCTGACTTATTTATTAGCCATTTTTTTGGAAACAAGTAATGAAGGTTTTCCCATTGATCAGTAATCACTTTTCGAGTTTCCCTTGGAAGATGTGTTTTTTTTTGTCTAATGCGAAGACTATTATTTGAGAAATCTAGAAATAAATCTAAAAATACTATAAATAACTATAACTCATAAACTTACTGTCAACTGAAAAATGTAACACCGACTATGAGGTCGGGTGTGACGTACCCCAACCACCTTTGCGCATGTGTATCTCTCGCTGACACCGGCGGAACACTAAACTCAACACTGCGCCTCGCCCCCACTCCCTTATCTCCAGCTACTGTGACAATGGGATTTGCATGGCAACAATAACATTGAATAATCTGCGTTTAAAATCTTCTCGGGTATGACATACCTGACCTCACTCATGCCGGGTTAACCTGTGGTCCCTGAAAGCATCCGATGTGCTCCGCGAAGTTATACCAAAATTATTAAATAAATGACGACACGTTGATGACAATGCGCAGTACGTCAAGGTTAGAGCCGATAGCGGACTGGGCTGGGGTATGGTGCGCGGTCAGAAAATATGAAACTGGAAATCACTAGTAATAAATTTGCATTTGAAGATAAAATCAGTTGCGTTTATCGTTAAAATCGACCTATGGATCAGCAAAGTCGAAAGAGAGAATTTTTCTGCGTTTGATATATTGAACCCAATTATTGATTGACAGTGTGTTGAGATTAAAGAACAAATACAAAAGAACATTATATTCCTTTTGCAAAGCTTCAAAAATGAATTCAATCGCTATTTTCCTGACTGCAAGGACAAAGGTATTCGGAAACTGATTTGCAATCCTTTCATAGACAACATTTCTGAGGTGACGGATGAAATACAAGAAGAGTTAATTGAAATGCAACATGATAGTAACTGCAAGGATACATTCGAGACAGGAATTAATCTTAAACATTTTTGGAGCCAAGAAGCTATTGCTTTCCCTAAAATTCGAGAAATTGCTTTACAGTGTCTAACTTTATTTTCAACCACATATTTATGCGAGCAAGGATTCTCAGTGCTTTTGATAATTAAAAATAAACATCGAAATCGATTGGATGCCAGTGGCGACATGCATTTCCTTTGAGTAGCACTGAACCAAGAATTCAGCAGTTGGTAAACAGTATGCAGTCACAAAAATCGCACTAAAATAATATAATTAGTGTAACACTTTCGCAAATAATATAATACTCTTGGTTCCGAATAATTTTCTACGTGTTTAATATATAGAACGATCTTATAAGAACCTATATTACAGCCAAACAGCTCGTGGTCCATAGCAAGACAAAAATTTTGATAAATGGTCCCTCATCACTAAAAGGTTAAGAATCACTGGTCTAGAATATTATCTTATATATTTATGACAGAACATAATTGTTTAATGATAGATTACAAGCAGTTAAATTGGGAGATAAAAGATTAAACCTGTTGAACGAGATGATTGCTGACATGAGATTAATTAAAATGTATACCTGGGAATTGCAATATGCTTCATTAATTGAGAAAGTCAGAGCGTATGTTGAACTAAACATTATTATTACATTAATCTGTGTTTGAAATTTGTGTTAATTAATTGTTCATATTTGCAGGAAAGAAATGAAAAAAGTTCGAATGTTTTTATATGCAAGGGGAATATCATTAATATTGTCATATCCTATATCAAAATTATTTACTTCTCTAACATTTCTTGCATTTTATTTAACTGGGGGACAATTAAATTCCCAAATTATATTTGTCACTCTGGCTTTTTCCTTTTACATCTTATATAGCACCATTGTTTTCTTTTCTATATCAATTAATCTCGCTGCAGAAATTTTGGTTTCATTGAAGAGACTTCAGGTAAGTCACAGTTTAATTAATTGTTTCCGTTACTATTTCTGTGAATTTATTACTCTTGAATTTTGGCTTTTTAGTAACTTAAATCATAAAAGAAACTTTTATTCATATCGACTTTATTGCTGTATTTGGAGGATATGCATTAAGGCATACATGATGATTCTTCTTCAGTCTTTTTTTATTATTTTTTTATATAGATCTCATTAAAATAAACGATATTACAGTATTAAATTACATCAAACTTACGGATTACATAAATTATTTACAAAATATATTTTTTAACATATAAATTGCTAATACCTGTGTATGGATAAAAGTACAATTTGGTAAGATTTAAAACAAATTAAATAAACTGAATTAAAAACATGGGTTATGGGGAGAAGGGGTTAAAAATATTTTTCAAAAACGTTGATATTAAAAGCCCATAAAACCATTATAAAACATAAATTACACTGTGTGAAAATCAACAAAATTGACAATACTACAACACAGTGTATTATAAAAGAATGGGAAGAGGGGAGTTGGAATTAACTCTACCTATTATGAAGTAATAGTTACCAGATCACACTAATAATTATACCTTCGTTTAAATTCATTTTATTTTCTGTTATTTTAATAATTTCCAAGTTTTCATATGATTTCCTTTTAATAATATTTTTTTCCTTCTTGAGAATTTTAGCCTTCCTCATTACAATGTATGGCAAGTGCTAAATTCGAATAATTATACTTTATTGGGCGTAAATATTACGTCATTCTAATTATTAGTGCTTTTCCAGTTTAATTAACATATGTATTGATATTTTGATTGGCAACTGCAAGAAATTTTATATATAACGTTATTTTGTTGCGTCATATCAGATTTTTATTAATAAATTATTATTATTATATACTGGAGCAAGGGTAATATTATATGGTTTTAATAACTTTTAACTGTTTTCAAAACTACGGGAATGTAATGTTCATGTTAAATCTATTCTTCACGTAGCTGTACTGGTATAATAGTTAACTCGATCGTTCTACAATTCGAACGTTAAATTGTATAGAAATTCTACCTGTAGTTTGCACGACGTTTCTACTTTCGAACTGTCAAAAATCACCTTAGCTGCATAAAAGCCATTTGTTGCATGTCCAAGTGTTTTCTGATTTTCGTTGTGAAAGTATCTTTTGCATTACTCAATAACATACCTTGCATAAATATCATTAACAAAATTGGTGTTTTTCATTTTTATTAGAACTTTCTTCTTCTTCAAGAAAAAGATAATGTATCAGTGAAAATTGCAGAAGAAAACATAAACTTAACTGAAAACGGAATATGGATGGAGAATGTCAATGCTGCATGGAAAAAAGTAAGACAAACATACAATAAATTTAATTAATGTGAGTTTATTTAAGGATAGTTATACTCGTTGCAATATATATGTTGTATTATTTTGCAGTCGTAGTAGTAAGGTCGAGTGTAGGTTGAAACAAGACAAAGAAAATTTGAGACCATAAAATAACACGTCCGTTCACTTTCGGGTCTTCACTCGAACTCTCTTTTATTTTATTGGTGCTGTTAACCTCATTCCAAAAGGGACGAGATTAACAAAGTAAAATACAGAAAATATATACAAAATTTACAAAAATTTTAAATATGTTAAATGCCTCCCTCTTGAAAAGGCGACATCATGGAGCCTCAGGGAGGTTGGGCTGGGTGTTATACAATTTATCGGCTTGAACTCTAAACTTGGTTGGATTATAATACGGTATAATTTTATCTACATTTACAATATCGGTTAATTTATTTAATGATTGGACAGGTCTGTCTATTTCTACGTTACAAGGAGATACTATTTTTAATATGGTGAAAGGTCCATGATACTTTGGAGCAAGTTTTCCTTGGTCGGGATGGAAGAAGGTTTGTAGTAATATTTGATCTCCTACTTTGAAGTTTGGAGTTTGATGTTGACTATTATATTTATCTCTGTTTCTTTCGTGAGCTAATTCAGTTCTTTCGGTGGCAATCTTACGTGCTTCGCTGAGAGAGGGATAATTCAAGTTGTGAGGTGAATCGGGGATTTCTCCGTACATCAAAAACATTGGAGGGAATCCTGTTATAGTATGGGGTGTTTGGTTGTATTCTTTCACAACGTCACGTAACATTTGAGTCCAGGATCGTTTTGGATTTTCTGAATATTTTATTCTTAGTCTAGAGACGAGTGTGGCGTTTAGTCTCTCAACTATCCCGTTGTGCTGTGGTCGCTGAGTACTTGTTAGATGTTGTTTGATTCCATTCCGTTCTAAATATCTTCTGAATCTAGAGGAAGTAAATGAAGGTGCTCTATCTGTTAGTAGACGTTTTGGGCTGCCTGTTTGTAATATTTTGCCTAGACAATCTATGTAGGCGTTTATAGAAGTAGATTTGGAAGGAAAACACCAAGCAAACCTAGAAAAATGATCGATGACGACATGAAGGTAGCCTTTAGTAGATCCGTATCTTTGCATTCCAGAGACAGTGTCCATAGTTATCTATGACAGTGTCCATAGTTATCTATGGACACTGTCATGTCAAATGGAGCTTTTGATGAAAGTAAGTCACCTAACAAGTCAAACTTTTTATGGTTGTATGTCTTTGCTTTCTGACAAACATCACAATGTTTAACAAACTCTACAACATCGTTGATGACATTCGGCCAATAGTAACGTGGACTGATTAGTTTCAGCATCTGTGTTATACCCGGGTGACCATAGTGTGCATGTGCCCTGGATAGCACCTTGTACTGAAGCGATGGAGGTATGACTTTCTTTATAAATCCCTTCTTTCTGATACAGATTACATCTCCATGATCTCGGAAGAACTTGGGTGAGGTGAGTAATGCGTTATCCTGGTTGGAAAGGACTTCCTCAGTGGTAACAAAATGGCTCACGGGGACTCTGGATAAATAATCAGCTTCTATATTCTGGCTTCCCTTCTGATGTTTAATGTCATACCGATACATGCTCAGTTTCAAAGACCATCTAAATAACCTTCCAGATGGGTTTTTTATACTTTTCAGCCACTGTAAAGCTTGATGATCGGTGTGTATGGTAAAATAGATATCATGAAGATAAAAGTGAAACTTTTCAATAGATGCTACAATTGCAAGGCATTCTCTCTCACTAATGGTGTATATTTTTTCATATTCACGGACCTGGAGAAATAAGCAATAGGAAGTAATCCTTTAACAGGGTGTTCCTGTTTCAAAATACCCCCTATACCATCTCCGCTAGCATCTGTATAAAGATGTGTGGGAAGCAAAGGGTTATATAATTATACATGTTTAAGATGGGTCTGGAGATAAGTGCTCGTTTTAATTTCTCAAAAGATTCTTGACATTCAGTCGTTCAAGCCCAACTTTGATTTTTTTTAGAAGCTTATTTAGAGGGGCTCTTAAATTTGCATAATTTGGAATAAATCGATGGTAATGGTTTATGGACCCTAAAAAGCCCTGTAATTGTTTGATATTAGTTGGACATTTTAACTTTTGTATAGTTTCTATATTTGATAATGAGGGGGAGTAACTTTCTGGTTTGATGTTGAACCCAAGATAATTAATCTCAGATGTAACAAACTGACATTTTTTAAGATTTATGTATAGACCTTCCCTTGAACATAATTCAAATACTTGTGTTAAATGTTTTAGGTGTTCATCCACGTTCTGACTAAAAATTAACAAGTCATCAAAATAATTGATGAGAAAAGGAAATCTATATTTATTTAGGATATTTTTTAAAACTAGCTGAAAAATCTGGAGTGAAGTCCTTAGACCAAATGGTAAACGATTCCACTGGAAGTGAGCAGAATTCGTTACAAAAGCAGTTAGTTCTTTGTCTTCAGAATGGAGAGGAACCTGCCAATAGGCTGACAGAATATATACAGTAGAAAATATTTTCGCACCTATAAGTCTATCTAGCAGCTCATCTATTCTGGGAATAGGTTCGTTGTTAATTTTGATCTTCTCGTTTAACTTCCTATAATCCATACATAGTCTAGTTTTTCCCTCGTCTCTTTTCTTAGCTAATGTGACTTTTTTTTAAATCTGTAAGTAATACAAAATGGGAGAGAAGAATAAAAGCAAAATAAATATATCAAATATTTTAATAGATATTTTTAAACTCCTGTCAACTATACAGAACTATCATAAAAACATACCAGTAAATTCCTATCGTTCGGATTAAGTTATAAATCTACTTTTGAATCACATAATGGTGCGAGGGTGGCCAAATATCTAGCATGCAGCCCAGAACCGGTCCTGGTTAGAATTATTGGAAGTGTTATACGATATTTTGATGTGTACCATCCATCAGCTAAACCGCGTGAGGTTGGTGTTCTATAAAGCACATGAGCAAAATGCGTATAATCTGGCTGCTTGGAAGCTGTCCCGTATTCGACACTACAGCACTTCCATTCCGCCACTTATATTCGAATATACAACAGCAATCTTTTTTTTCACATGTAGTTTAGAAATTTGTAATAAAATACATAATACGGTTATAATAAAATAATGATTCAGAAAAATTATTTGACACGTCATTGCGCGAAATTCGTGGCGTGTAATAATTATTTTTGAGATGCTTATTCTATTTTATTTCCATCTAAAATCTTTACTGCTTTACGTGTTCAAATAAGTTCCAATTACAGAACATTAAAATGGTGGATTATTTTCAGGCAATTTCGTATAATCAAAATACTACTCAAAGATTGTTAGATTAACAGATTTTTCAGAACACTCTGCCCCGAATTTCTATTCCACATTAAGTTTTGATGACTCTTATAATTAACTAACATTAAAAATGCAAACTATGATAATTTTAAATTCTATAATCCTTTATCGACATTTTTTTCAAGAACATTATATTAATATTTTTATAAATTAATTTTTTATTTTTTTCTGATTTCTTTAAATATAATTAATTTTAAAATTATTTTTTATGTTTTAGTAAGTTTTCTTCTTTTAATAGGAAACAGAACCAACATTGAATGGGATATTTTTAAACGTACAACCTGAAGAAATGTTAACTGTTATAGGTCCGGTTGGATCAGGAAAAGTAAAGATTCTATTTTTTGGGACTGCAATTTAAATTCTCTATGTCTGTCTGTCTGTCTGTCTATCCGTCCTCACTCTCGAGAACAGTGAAAATAATAAGAATAGGAGACCCCGATTAACTGGACAAATACATCAGATGCAAACCGGAAGCCACATAATTTCAATTTGAATATTTACCCCCGAAAGGAGTTAGATGACCGACACGACTCTATTGTTAAATGGAAAGTATAATGATTACGGGCAAGCCACTACTAATTTGAGATGGAGGGCATATATTTTAAATGAAATAAATTAAGAATGCAATTAAAAATTGCAGTGCGGCATTGTGACAATGTCACGATAAATGACTGCTCATTCTGTTTTATATTTTTAATTCATTATATAATTTATATTATTCTGAAGTCTTAAAATTAAGATTATTCTCAGATGAAAGAAATTATTTCTTTTATCTGTACACATACATGACAAATTATTCATACATTAAAACATGTAATACAGTTTAAAACTATTCTGAACGTATAATTTAAATTCAAATATTATTTTACTAATCGAGCGATTTATTATTTTCGTCAGACATCTTTATTAATGTCCATCTTGGGGGAGATTCCTGTTACATCTGGTAAAGTATCAGTAAAAGGAAAGATAGCTTATGCATCTCAAGAAGCTTGGGTATTCAACGAGACTATCAAAGAAAATATCTTGTTTGGTGAAGAATATCAAGAAGAGAAATATAGAAAAGTCTTGCACATAACGACTCTTGAAAAGGTAAGAAAACAGTCTATTTAAATACCAAAGAAACTTTGAATTCCTTACATCTTTTTAAGATAAAAAATTATTTGATTGCAACTAAGATTAAAACAACAAGTCTGGCCTAGTTGCAAAATGTATCATATGGTTCGAAAGAGTTTAATAAAACTGAAAAATTCTGACAAGAAACCTGTAGAATCTGGAGATAAAGTTTATTAAAGTTTAAATTGATACCTATCAAAACTCGCGAGGACACTGTAGTGAGGTATGGTCGATACAATCTGATAAATTCGTAGATGCAAAGTGCCTGTATTCTCATATTATGCAGTTTGGAANTAGAACCATCGCAGTCGATTGAAGCCATTTTACTAACAGGAAGTTTATTACAGGACCGTACATACCGTAGGTACCTGGTCGTTCATTACAATCCTCATGAAACTTGACTTTCCGAAGATTAGTTTTAAACGAAGCAAAGAAAAGGAACCACTTTTGGTCATGGATTTCGACCGAATGTCCCCAAAAAACAAAATTAAATCAAATACTAATTGGGATCGCTTCTCTTCAGTGTGTTCTGCTTCTCACGCCTATGCGCCATCTTGATTTATTTTTTTTATTTTCTCTTCACCGAATGTTACGCGTAATCGATTACATTACTATCCAAAAATAATGAAAAATTCAGATATAATTTAATTCAAATAATTTATCAATTGTAAAATATTTTAAAAATTTAAACCCCCAAAATCCCCGTGTGCAAAGCAAAGCTTGCCACACACTTAAATTTCTCAATAGAAGATAAATCTTATAAAATTTATCGGTAAGGAATGTCACGATTATTTTATGTAAATAAGCTTATTTCACATTATAATAAACAAATTTGTAAAAAGTTAATTGATGCCATTCATATAATTTATTATATGATTTTTAATTCGTACTTTTATAGAACTTCATAAAGTGCTATTGCCGAACATTACTAGATGATTCAGAAAAGAATATAATGTGCAATTTGTACTAATAATTATAGAAAGCGATAGTAAGAGGAAACATAATAATACAGTAATAAAAACAGAAGCCAACTGTTAGTATCGTAGTCATAGATATTAAAAGTGGTCACCTGTCTCATTTTTATACATAGCTGCGAGCATCAAACCATGTTTAGAAACACAAGTCATCGATACCGGCGATTGCGTGGCTGAGTTGTCCCTCAGTTCCTGTACAAGTCGACCCCCTATAACACTGTTGATTCTTCCGTTTTATATGAATTTCATGTTGTACGAGTCACTTAGATTTTACAAATACATGAGCTGTTCACAGCCCGGCACACTTATTTGTAAAATCTAAGTGACTCGTACAACATGGAATTCCTATAAAACAGAAAAATCAACAGTGTTATAGGGGGGTCGACTTGTATTGTGTTTGGATACGCACAATACGGGACAACAATGATTACTCAACACAACTGATGCGGGTTGCCCACTTCCATGCGATATACCAGTTTTATACAGTATATGCCAATTTTACCCCGTTATAACAGCATGCCCACGCATAAAAGTACACTCTTTTATGCTCTGATAATAAGTTAAATAAATTATTGTATAAATTTAAACTATTATCAAAGTATACAATAATTTGATGTGTGGTAAACCGCATTGATTGGTTTTCTTCCGTAGGTACTGTACGTTTTAGAGAGAAAGAAATGGGATTTTTGTTTATACGTTGTTAAATATGCAATTAAGTCCAGTTCATACTTTTAAACGTGATTAATAGTAATCCCTATGAATTCAAAATAGTCCTAGACCAACTCAGTAATAAAGAAGCACACTTCTTGGATCTGAACATCATCCTACTAAATGGAGAGATAAGCACAAAGGTATATTTTAAACTAACATCACACCCATTTTACATTCCTTGCTTCCCAAACAATCCTTCCAGATACAAATGGGGCTCTTAAAGCCCTTATCATAAGGGCTTACAGACTTAAGGGACACCATAAAACAGTTGAACAGGATCAGAAACATAGCAGCCACTCACGGATAAAGCCAAAATACCTTCAACACCTTAGTCAATAGATACAAGCATATAAAACACGCTCCATAAAAAGTAATAAACTCCATCCATGACCGCACCGGTAACATAAAACAAGTTGCTTGATAGCACCTTCAGAAAAGCTATTAGACAGGGCAACAAACAATTAACTTATAAGAGCAATAGTGCAGGCTACGATTTATTGCGTAATGACATGGACCAAATAGATCCTACCTCGATCCTAGGAGTATACAAAATGCACTTTACTATAGGTCTAGAAAACAGGGTCTGCAAATATATAAAATACACATCCCGAAATCTGCCTACCAGGCTCAAGGAATATCAGTACGATGCACGTAAAGGCAAAAAAAACACCACAACGCTGGCTATTACGGCAACATTTTTGGATAATTTACCACATTTCACAGATGCAAAAGGCATTAAAATCTACAGGAACCAACACTCTGGAAAAACTGTAGAAAATACAAAAATACTGTTAATAATCAACGCATCTAATTTATTATTGTTGTTTATTTGTTTATATTTTATCGGTTATTAGTATGTACAGTATTACATATTTTCGTATACTTTATTGTTATTACTTATTTATGTTATATCAATTGTATGTCATTGATCCATATTTATAACACTGTTGAATTTAAATTTTATAACTTATTTTATTATGTATTCGTTCTTGATGGTGGCTGTATAAATACCCGAAAATATTAGAAAAATAAAAAATAAGAAAAATTTGCTGGAACAGGTTGAAACTGTTTTATTTTTGTATTTCTATTACTAATTTTAGGATATAAGTTTATTTCCTAAAGGCGATCTGACTATTGTAGGAGAAAGAGGAGTGATAATGAGCGGTGGGCAAAAGGCAAGAATTAATCTAGCAAGGTAAGATACGTCTTTCGCTTTAATGTTATATTTTTATTACTGCAGATATAACAATACAGTATGATAACAATATAGGGCTTCACAGAGAGTAGACTAGGTTTTGTAGAAAGAACTATTGAGCAAATCTCAACAAACTTTCGTATTCATACTGTCATGATTATGTAGTTTCGTTTACAAAGAAATTTCAGCCAATAGGGCAAGTTTTGGCATTGTCCCTTTAATACAAATGCGTGGTATATTTTCTAATAAATTTTGGGATTTAATTTAAGAAAAAGACTAGAGTAATGTTATTTTAATTACAGCTATGAAATGTTGAATTGATGATTAAATGGAAGATATGGCTGTATATGCTCTCCCTATGCAGACCATAAACAATGTATTATACAACATACTCGATGGCTAAACACCACTCACATGAAATTCTGTTGTTGAAAGAGGTTGAGAACAAAGCGTAATTAAAGAAGGCTCTTTAGAGAGCCACATAACAAATAGTCACACTAATTCAGATATGATAATCGAGGTAGCCATAATGTTGAAAATCATTAGGTAATCAATTTCTCTTGTGAAAAAGGTTTTTGTAGTAAGGGTTGCACATTTTTGCCTATACGTGAGGTTTCTTTTATCTTGCATATAGATTATGGTCTTCAGACAAATCCTCTGCTGTAGGGCAGGATTAGTAAAGTTTTGAAGCACATTATTACTGGCATATACAAGACATTTTCTTGGTCCAGATTAAGAATACTTTTCATAAAAATAATAAAGATAAATGATAAACGATGAAAACCATATCATATTGTCATTTATGTCAATGCAATTTGTTGGTAAAAGTATGAATTATTACAACAAATACGACAGTGTGAGTATTCATATTATTATAAAAATGAGTCTTATTGCTCCAAAGAATTAGCTAGCATCTCATATCATTAAGCATCATGCAAGCTAGAAATGTCATGGCAGATGTTTTCCACTTATTACTAAACCAGAAATTCTTTTATATGAGAACTATATTTGTTGGATAATACTTATCATTTTTACAGAACTTTCCACACAGTTGTATAGGGATTATTTAATTGTCCTGTTATTGCATGTGCACTATTTTCGCGTTGAAAATTTTCCATTCCGTGTTTCACTTCGGCAATAGCGAGGTCATGAGTGCTTGCATGTGTTTGACATCTCTGTACTGGTTTCTTAGAAATGTTGCAGTCTTATAAAAAATGCAAAACCATTTTCCAAATATTCTCAATATTCGGACTACATCTTTATTGTTTATTTTGCACTTGAATATATTATGCATTAAATTTTTTTTTAGTTTTTTTAACAAACACATAATAAGAAAAACATAAGGCAGCGCTTATAATGGAAGATGTAAACGTGTTATGCCCAGAATTGCGAAGCTGAGATTACTGTTTCATTCATAGAGGAATTTATGAAGAACTGTCAAGACCATTTTGCAACAATTTTATACACGAAATGCATTAGAAAACGTACCTAATATGTACACCAAGGAGTCATCACCGCGAAATATTTTTAATGTCTAAATGTTACAGTAAAAGATTTTTTTCAAAAATCAAAATCTCATTCACATTACAGTATGTATACGAAATTTGGTAAAATTTTTAATAGTTCTATACAGTTAGCTCTAAATACTTATTCTGTAATTATATTCACCCATGTACATTTTCATGAAATTGAAGTAATGCTTATGCGTATTGCTTTTTAAATTTTTTCAGTAAGTATTCACAAAAACATTACTCAAACATCAAAATAGAAACTGCAGTTACTTTTAAATATTTTTTTGTCTCATTGATGTTGTTCCAAATTGTTCCATTTATGTTGTTAATACAAAACATAAATAGCGGCATTTTAATAAACAAGATTCGTTATATGATCTGATTAGCGACTACTATTATATTGAAATGTAAAATGAAAATGTGCACAATTATATTACTTTTTATGTACATTTTTACAAAGTATAAATACATAACAAAGTCTCAGTTACTTCAGATTTCAGGCTATTTTTGTAGGAAATGGGATGAGAAATTCTTTGAGGTTTCTGCAATGCATGATTTTTCTGTTTGTGGAATTTCTGTATTATCGTTTTCCATTCTTGCTAGATAAGCCTCAACAAATCTCATGTATGAGTAATGTTTTTGCTTTTTGGTACTGAGTTAATGTTATGTTTTTATAATTTTAGAGCACTTTATCTAGATGCCGATATATTCCTCCTTGACGATCCACTGAGTGCTGTTGATGTTCCAGTGGCGAAACATATATACGAAAAGTAAATAATTAAATTATATTTTATGTGTATAATTTAACACAGTTAAACACGTTTTTCTTTCAGATGTATATTGGAATATCTGAAAAAGAAAATTTGCATTTTAGTTACGCATCAAATACAATTTTTAAACTCTGAAAGTAAGATTATAGTGTTAAACAAGGTAAGAATATTTATTGTTTATTACTTCAATTTATTAATTAGTTTTTAATTTATTGAAAATATTGATTTTTATTGTAATAATATGTCAATTTGGATATTAACAAGTTAATTAACAGTACCAAAAGAGCCACGGATTGCATTGGATTGGATTGATTACCGAACATAACTCAATCCATTAAAATCCAAATAAAAATTTACCTAAATAAAGTGAAATTTTTCGAAGTGTAGTGCTATGTTTTCTCTGTTCAAATGAGAAGTTTTTCGAACTGTAAATAATTTATTTATGATGTTTTATTTAAATCTTAATGATTTAAATAAAACATTATAAATAAATTATTTACACTTCGTGTTAAAGCTGACTTAACTACTGTATATAAAGTACATACATATATGCAACATATGTTATTTTACCTGCTGATATTAGTAAATAAGTAGATTTATATCTGGTATTAAATCTAGTAAAATATACTTAACATCTACTGATAATTATATCAGACACTGCCATTAGTTAATCATGTGTCCAAAAAAATTCTGATCCATAAAATTCTATTATTATTCTTGAACAAACCTGGAGCATCTGCTGCTTTTGTAAGCTGTCTTATTAAAGGACAATTTTGAATTATTAGGCACCCCATTAATGAACTTTTATAATGTGAAAAACTTAATCGGTTAGGCTATTCCTATAATTGGAAATAATGTATAATATACTGTACACTTTAAATAGAGTATCTTCTGCTGTATTTGGAAAACCACTAATATGGTCACATTATTTTTGAAACCATGTCTCTCAATTAAGAACTTTTATTATACAGGGGTGATTATAATTAAAGTTCCACTTTGAAATGGCCATAAAATGAAAACTACTGGACAAAATGTTATCAAACTTGGTAATAGTGTACAGGACGTCATGGGATTTTATTTCCTTCGAAAAAAATAGTTCAAAAACTCACCACCAACGGAAAAATGGCGCTATCTCCAATATTGTTAAAAGAAATAAAACATTAAAACATCGTTGAAAATGTTTTTAATTGCTTTTAAAACGCTTTACAGACCATGTTCAATGTGGTGTCCACCATTTTCGATAAGCAAGTTACATCGCATTACTGTGTTCTCAACAGTAGCTCTTAGCATATCAGGAGTAACCCCACAAACAGTTTCGTTTTAAAACCGATTAAAAACATTTTCAACGATGTCTTCGTGTCTTATTTCTTTTAACAGTCTTATTTCTTTTAACAATATTGCCGATAGCGCCATTTTTCCGTTGGTGGTGAGTTTTTGAGCTATTCTTTTCATGGGAAATAAAATATAAAATCTCATGACGTCCTGTACACTATTACCAAGTTTGATAACATTCTGTTCAGTAGTTTTCATTTTATGGCCATTTCAAAGTGAAACTTTAATTATAATCTCCCTGTATTATTTTACATTGAATCTAGGTAAATCTACGTACAGGTAACCCCCGTATAACACGGCACTTCTATAGCACGGATTCACTCTAACACGGTTCGAGAATTGGTACCATCCCCCGTATAACACGGTACTTTTATAGCACGGATTCACTCTAACACGGTTCGAGAATTGGTACCACCCCCGTATAACACGGTACTGTTATAGCACGGATTCACTCTGACGCGGTTCGAGAATTGGGTTAAACCCTCGTACAACATGAAATGTAATAAATTTTTACATACTTAACTAATAATAGTTCACGAAAATTATTATTTTCGTGAACTATTAGTACTTAAGTGCGTAAATTTTCTTTTCTCGCCTTCTGTCAATACACATGGTCCTTCTGGAAACTTGTTTCAANTATATAAATTTATTACTTTTATATATATATTATTTTTATATATATTATTTTACATAGATGAAGGGTAATTTTTGACTTTGCAAAATTCACTGAATATCGTTGATAAGTAGAAATTACGTATATCATCAGATCGCATTTTATGTTTCCGTTTGAAGCTATGTAAATGGATGAAATCATTTCACTTTTAATAATTTTAATACAATAACACAATACACTCTTATACTATTTATTTGTTTATGTTTAACATTTTCGACTGTAGAAGATCGCTTTCAAAATTATAAATTCAGTAACTTTCCTAAGCAGATTAACAGATGAAACGTGGACTACCAAACTTTAGCTCTGTCTACTTTTTATAATGCCAAATTCAACTTATTTTTATGCACAGATATTGATATATTATCAATCCATTAACATAACGCAAGAAATGATTAATGCAAAAATATACTTTCTCTTGATAAAGATTTGTGGTATTTGCATTATATCACTCTCTATTAAATGATCGTAACCATGGTTGTAAACCCCTACTTTGACAGACATTGCTGTTATGCAAGGGACATTATAAGTTACAAATTTCTACGGAACATATAAATTGGTTTTACACATTTTTAAAATTTATTTGTTAATAATGTACGTTAAATTTATGAACAATAGTTCATAAATTTGAAAAATAAATATAAATATTTATTTCATTAGTAATTTACGTTGTTCTATTTTAGGGATACAGACTTTATGTTGGCATGTTTTTGATTCAAGCGATAATATGCCCTTATCTACTAATATTAATCTGTGTTCTTTCAATCCTTTTCTATTTTTTGTGGACTGTCCATAACAGAGTGTTGCAAAGCATAAAATATTTGGAAGGAAAATGTAAGTATCAATACTTCAGTTAATGTAATAAATTTTTGTGCTTACGATCAGATTGCAGATTATTTAGATCGAAATTTTTATTGTGTTTTTGAGCAATTGTCTAGAATGATTTCAAAATTCATAACTTTTGTGTTTTTATTTTCTTGGCTGTTATATATTCAGAGAGGGAAAGTATGACGAGCTCAAGACACCTTGAAACGTCGAGAAATGAAAAAACATTCGAAAGTTTTTTCCTATATGTATGGATGTTAGTTTCTGTATGTGTATATGTGTGTGTGTATGCGGGGGGAATTTTATTCACTCTCTTTGAAGCTTGATAACTTTTGTGTTTTATGTCGAAAAATTTCCGAAATTTGGCAGAGGGACTGATGCTTTGGTGATTAAAGATTGAAGGAGAAGAGCGATATAAGGGGCCGTGTGTATTTCCATATGATCGTACTTAAAGACGGTTTTACTCATTATTAACATTTACAAATTTTTTATAAAACCCATCCCTATCTTTAAAAATTAAACTTTTGGCGATTTTATAACAGTTAAAAATATAAATTAAAAAAGAAAGTAAAATATCATAATAGATGACGCCGCGAAATGTTACCAGAAAACTTAAGCAACTCGATGCTGGATTTTTAAATTTTAAATTGTTTAAATTACGCATTTGACATCACGTCGTAAATTGCTAAAAATTTGGTGGACCACGGAATATTTGTAGCATAGAAGTATTGGTTTTATAGAAAACGTTCCTGTCTTAACAATCAGCAAAAAACTTTGCTGTTTTTGTTATATTTAGAGAGATGTTTATTTTAGAATCTATGTATTCGATTTTTGACAACTGTGTGACAATATCGCATAAAAAAATGAAAACATTTTTCCTGGTAGAATAAAGTAATAACATTCATATTTGACTCACTTCAAAATAGAAGATCGGTTTATACAGTTATAAAAATAATTAGCAGATTACTAATATTATCGATAGAGAGCCTGATTTATTTACTTTCTCCTGCAAAGTAATTAACTCTTTCTTCCATGTCCTTCAAACACGAAGTGGTCCTCTCAAATCACAAACAAATCCCATGTTCAATTAGTGTGACTTGAGATGATTTACATCGTGATAAAATTTTGTATGTTTATTTTTTGCGCTTTTTGATAATATTACAATAAAATAAACATAAAAAAACTCATTTCTTCAACCTATGAGTGTTTTTTACTGATAGAAAGTACAAAATTGTGGAAATTAATGATGTAATCATAGTTTTGATGCGCTGATGATAATTTCACAATTTTAGAAAAAATGAAGCCCAACCACAGCACTGATTATTTCTCTTATCTGTTTTTATTGATTTTTAATTATTTGGGAAAAATTCATAAAACACAATTGTCTATCACAAATCTCATCAGAATGTCAAATATCTTCGTAAACTATTTCAGTAATAACTTTTCGATATAACACTCTTTAATGTCTTTAGTTATTGGAATGCAATATGAAAAAAACTGTAGACGAATACATTCCCCCTGGCTGTCTGTCCTTCTTAATTTCCAGAAGGGAGTCAAATAGAAAAAAAATGATACTAGATATTGAACGAACAGGAACAGGAGGAAACTTAAATCATCCTGAAACCCATTAGTTTCTAGTAAACATTCATTTATAAAATAAAGGTATTTGCTGTGTAAACAAAATTAACTCGATAAATATATATTAATTTATATAATCAATTAATCTTAACTTACAATTCTAAAATCTATTCAATTTCTTGTATAAATTTCTTGTGTTAAATTAATTATTTCATTGCTTATAGATGGAATAATTAGATTATTATACAGTATTTAGGAAAGAACTAATTAAATAATTAAATTATATATAAAAAAACATTATTTTTCCAGATAGAAGTCCAGTATTTTCTCATCTAAGTGTATCTCTTTATGGAATTACAACCATCAGAGCATTTAATGCTGAAAGTAAATTTATATCCACTTTTAATAAATATCAAGATAGACACAATGCAATATGGTTTATTTTCTTAGCGTTAAATCGATGGATTTCTACATATGGTCACATCGTTTGTTTCATAAATATAATTATTACTGTTCTTGTTTTCATCGTTTCAATTAATACAGGTAGGTAAATATATTAAAATTTTCTTTAGTATATAATATAAATAATACTGAATTTGTAATTGCAACTGAAGATGATGCAGGAAGCAAACTCGGACTTGTTATGAATTACGGATTAATGATATTTTGTTACTTTCAATTGCTTATTAAACAAACATCTGAAATGGAATTTCAGGTATACTTTATTTTAAAAACTAACGAGTAAATAAGAAAAGTTTTAAAACACATACTTAAACTCTATTAAATAAAAGTAAAGCTGAAATAAATTTAATATTTATCGAATTTTTCAGATGAACTCGGTAACACGCATTATGAATTATAGCAAATTGAAATCAGAAGCATCATACGAAACGTCATCTGATAAAAAGCCACCATCTGATTGGCCACAAAAAGGTGAAATTCAGTTTGATAATGTTTGTTTACAATATGCCAAGGATAAAAATACTGTTTTAAAAAACTTAACATTTTGTATTCACTCGGGAGAAAAGGTAAAACATTTGAAAAATTCAGGAATCATTACTTGTAATTATTGTCTGAAATTGTTTTTATTATTTATTAATTGCAGATAGGAATTGTTGGGAGAACAGGAGTGGGAAAGAGTTCATTAATAGCTGCGTTATTTCGTATGTCAGAGCCAACAGGAACGATTACAATTGACGGTATTGACACAAAAGATATTGGTCTACAGGATCTACGTAGCAAAATATCGATCATTCCTCAAGTAAACAATAATTAATTTAATCGAAATAATTATTTAATCTTTTTTATATAAAACTTCTAATTTTTAAATGAGATAAAAAAAAAACATATGATACAGATANCATTATTTAATTTATATTAATATGTATCTCTTAAATATCTTTATTAAAATTTTCTTATCTTAATTATGAAAATATAATAGCATGTTTTTTTAATTTTTGGAACCTAACCCTTCTTTTCGTACTAGTTCTTTGTTTCGCATAACACGGCAATTATTTTGGAACGTAACTATCGTGTTATACGGTAGTTACCTGTAACTCTATTTTGATTTGCTCTCTCTTTCTTTCTCTCTCTCTCTCTTTCTCTCTCACTCTCTCTCTCTAAATATATATATATGCTATATAAAACCTGCTTTTCTTTAAAAATCTTTTTCGTTAGTTTTACTTTTGAAATAAATAATTAAAACGTATATTGATATTACAGGGTAAATGTGAATTCATTGGCAATTATCGTAAAATGGAAAGCATGGAAATGCAAACAAGAATTACATCACAGCAAGAAATCGCTGGAAATGTCGAATTGGATTGTACACTTTTCAATGATAATGAAATAAATAATTATACTCAAGCTGAGACACATCATCACATTGAACATATTAATAATACTAACACAGTAAGTATTAATTTGAGTGTTGTTAAACTTCAATTGCTCACATTCTTTCAACGAACAATTTCCCTCAGCATCTGACAGTATTGTAATCAAATTGTCATATTACATCAAACACTATGATTACATCTTCAAAATCTACATTATGCCTTTTATTTAGCAATACGAAATACCCCTAAATTGAAAAGAAATGCGTTTTTGAATTATACTTTTACTATAATTTGATCCAAAAAGTCAAGTAAACATGTCAAATTTTAACTCGCTGTAAATAATCTTATGTTTTACAGATTGACTTTGGGATTGATTTTCAATTGCGAGTGACTTGTAAAGTTTTCAGTTTCTGGTAGAAAAAGTTAATTATATTCAATGGATAGAGTAAATGAACCCAGACCCTTTTTCTAACGTCAATGTCAATAATTCCACAAATTGTTTTATGAACCTATAAACAAAGCTCCCTTTTCGGATAGAAGTGGTCAAACGTCAATGATATTGTTTTATTTTACATGGAAGAACGGTGTTATTAAAAACTAGTTTTGTAAAATCTGATTACTTTAATTTAATTTTCAATTGTTTATGCGATATACTCCTGTAGTTGACAAAAGTCGGTTTTCTAGATTCAAAAATAAAAACATCCAACAACGAGTTATTTATCATTCTCCGGCAACATTTAGTGGCGCTATCTGTTATGATATTTTTTAAACGTTATAAAATGACATAAAGATTAATTTTGAGGGTAGGGATAGGTTTTATAAAAAATTTTAAATGCTAATAACAAGTAAAATCTCGATTAAGACTGACCCTACTGGAGATACAAAACAACCATGTTTATCTCCCCAACCGCTTGACCATTAATCATCAAAATTTAATAGCATCAATCCTCTAAAACTTAAATCTCCCTGCAAAATTTCACACATTTTTGACAAAAAAGACAAGAGTTGTTAAACTTCAAATAGGGTTAACAAAATCGTGACCCCCCCATATACAGTAACATCTATACTTACAGAAAAAAAAACCCGAACTTTTTTGCATTTCTCGACGTTTCAAGGTCCCCTGTGTCCATAATGTAAAAACCTTGGGGGTCGCAGTACTTTTTCTCTGCTATATATAACAGAATCGGAAAAGTAACATCCCTTGAAATATTACAGAAAACAGAGAAATGTTTTCTATATGTGGAATGAAGAAATCAAACAAATACTGCGCGGACCAACAAAATTTGGCAATTTATCAGATTATGTCGAATGCGCAACTTAAAAGATATCCCACTTAAAAATTTCCAATAATATTATCAAAGCATGGCCATAATAACTGAATGATATTTTTACATAATAGCACAAGATTTAAAAAGTTAAAAAACTCGAAGTATTATATATATATACAGTGAAAACTGCTTAGGCGACCACCTGCATTCGACGGGCACCTGTCAAAACGGGCAAAAATTTCTGGCACGGAATAGTTTACCCATAGAGTGTTCGTATAAGTTACCTGTATTAAACGACCACCTGTGTAACGCGACCGCGGGCATCGATTTTTGGTCCGAAACAACATATAACACCTGTAATAAGCGACCATTTTCGCGAATGTATCTGGTCTAAACTATTGTAAGAACCCATCTCAACAACGTTTCCCCCTCCTAATATAATAAATTAGTCTAAACTCTTGTTCGAACCCATCCCGGGCACTTCTCCCACCCTTGAAATTAGGTGCAGGTGTTAATAAATTAGTCTAGCAACAAAGGAAATTCATTTCAGTTTGTTGGAAAATGTCCGAAAAACGAAAGAAATGAGCTGTCGTTAGAAGATCGTATTAAAGTTATCACAACAGCAATTAGCGGCGAAGTTTAACTGTGGGAAAACAAAATTTATTTTACCCTAGACCTACAGTATTTTCCTTGGGGGTGTAAAATATTGTACACGATACAATTAATCGGCTGATCTCATCGTTTGATAAAATCTATTTTTATTTATTTATTTTGAAGCTCATATACAGTACACGTGCGATAAATAGTTTCTGTATCAACCTACCTTATTTCCACGATATTTTTAGAAAAATAATATCCAAGTAATTTTCGCAGGCAAAATATTCAAAAAACAATAAACGCATTAATGCAAAAATCAGTTTTACTTCCTTTTTCGATTCCGCGATTGTAATGAAATCGTATAATGAGAAAAAATAATAAAATCGTTTTATTATTAATTAATAATTTTTCTTATTGTACTTAATTAATTAAGAAAATATTAAATATTAAAAAATACAGTATTTTTAAAGTTAAAATAAGATTAAACTAACGAAAACCAAAAGCAAAGTGATGGAGAGATAGGACGCGCTTGTATATTGATGACGTAATACACGTAACTGAGGAGAGAACGAAAAGAACCGAGTCGAATTAATTAAGTCGGAAAAAAGAAAGTGTGCATTATAATCGAGAAAATGCGAGTATTGTATTAATCTTTAAAATAAAATACAATACCAATATAGCCCTATCGTTGAAAAAATTTGCTTATTTTTGCTCACCTCGAGTTTTGCTTAGTAGAAATGGCTAAAAACTACGCAAAATACGTAAGGAAATACGTTATTACAGGACCACCTGTATTGGACGACCACCTGTCTAAAAGACCACTTTTTGAAGGAACCGTGGGTGGTCGCCATAGACAGGTTTTACTGTATATTAATTTAATGCTTTCAGCATAAAAATAGTATAACAACGTAATGAACAAAAGTAATGTTGTCAAAAATAAACTCATTGGTCCACTTAGGTAAAATTGAAAAATTGAAATTGGTCCAGACATTAAAAATGCAAGAAATAAAAGGTATTTTCGTAAAGATAAATTTATTTTAAATTTATATCGCGTCAAATCTAAATTATTGCATAAAGGCTCGCAATGGTTACACCAATAGAGCTTTCTTGAAAAGTTTAGATATGACGTGTATCTGTGATATTCCAGTATTTTTTTCAACCAGAACCATGGCAGGCAATTCAAATACTGCATGTTTTACAAGTTAAAAATATTAAAATATCTTGACCTACGTTGCAGCATAATATAACGAACAATTTATATCATTTTTAAACTGTTTCTTGTAGGAAGCCGAAAAGAAGAAAATACCACGTGACGACGAAGTGGAAACAGTAGGAATTTCAGTTTATAAAGAATATGTGAATGCCGGAGCAGGATTTTTTTTGAAGATTTTTATTCTTGTTACGCTTATTGTATCGCAGTGCATTATAAATGCCAGTGACTATTGGCTAGTCAAATGGTAGGTCCTATTATTAATTTAAATTTTTAGGTGTAGATTTACTTTTTTAAACGAAGTTTTTAATGAGAAACAGAGAAATTATTTCACTAATTAAGATACGTTCTTTTGTTAACAAAGATACAATACTTTACGAACTGCCATGAATATATAGTCTATATTTATTCCAACTATAATACCCCGTTCGCACCGAGCATTTCGATCTAGATTGTGACTAAGGTCGGAGAGAGTTCCGTGGTGCGAACGCTCTCGACCGTTTCAATCTCGACTGAAACGAGGCTAAATCGCAATCGACTGGAGAGAGTTCTTGAAACTACATCCAGTCATAAGAGAGATCCCACAATCCCACGCGCGCGAGAAAATACAAGATGGCTGCTGAACACGTGTCCGGCTATCGACAGAAAAATAAAAAAGACATCTGGAGAGACGATGACATCTGTCTATTATTAGATATATGGCAAGAAAAAGTATTTATTTCTAACCAAAACTTCCATTTTGTTTGTTGGTGTTCGTGACTTACCGCGTAGTTATGTCAATTTTATCATCGCGTGTAATAGCCGGGTTCTTCTCAAGCGAGTTACCTGTGCGAACAGCACGACGTTCCACTGGCGACAGTCACAATCCAGATTGTGGGTAAATCGAGATCGAAGTGAGTCGTGGATTGTGTGCGAACGGAGTATAATAGTTCACTTGTATTTCAGTCTGTTAACGAACTATTAAAACATTTAAAATAATTAAATAAATACTTGAATGGTCGATTTTTAATTTTCAGGATGAATGATAAGAGAATCCATAGCCAAAATATTTCATTAAAGACAAAATCTTTCTACAACAGCAGTGAAGAATTTTATCATAGTGAAGAATTCAACATATATGTTTACTTTGCATTGATTTGTGCAGTATTCCTCGCGGCGATGCTTTCTGAATTATTATTGTTTCGAATGTTCACAACTGCATCTTTCAAACTTCATAACGATATGCTTCGTTGTATTATTCGAACTCCAATATCATTTTTGGATAACAATCCTGTTGGTATGTAAAATGTGTTTATTTCATTGTTAAGTTAAACATTTAATTCTATAACACGCTAAAAGTATGTAATTTTAAAAATACTTTTATGATACTAACATAACTTATTTGTTGTTTAATATAATATAGTACAAACATTCGTTTCGGTTCTACACGGTTCAAAATTCTGCTTATTACTTTCCCAGCTCTGTTACATATAAAAGAAGAAAAGTATGGCAATTGGTCAAAAAATGACCCTCCCTAGATTTTTACATTTTGGAATCAGGGCATATTGAAACGTCGAGAAATACAAAAAAATTCAGAATTTTTTTCTGTACATATGGTTGTTTGTATGGGGGCACGATTTTGTTCACCTTACTTGAAGCTTAATAACTCCTGTACTTTTCGTTCAAAGTTTCTGAAATTTTGCACATAGGTTTGTTTATTAGGGAGATTCAAGCTGTTAAATTTTGCTGGTTAAATGTCGACAGGATGGAGTGACTGGAGATATGTCGCCTGTCGATATGTGTCATATCTCCAGTAGGATCAAACTTAATGACGATTTTACTCGTTTTTAGCATTTACAATTTTTTATAAAAACCCATCCCTACCCTCAAAATTAAGGTTTTTGCCAATTTGTAATTAGTAGTGGACTTTTTATATTTTATAATCTATTATAACAGATGGTACCACACACGCTGTTTTATATGTTGCCCGGAAAGTTAAACAACTCGTAGCTTGATTTTTTATTAATTAATATACATTTGCGTAATATCCATCTGCAGGTTTGTGCTTGATAAGTAAGATAATCTATCGATGAACAGTACACAATTTTCTACAAGTTTAAGCATAAACATTAAGAAGACCAGAACTTATGAATGCAAATATATATATATATATATTTTTTCATTTAGATATTAGTAAAAACAGAATAAATGCATATATTCTATAAAATTTGATTATAAAAATGTAAAATCTGTTCTGTTTGGTGACATGAACTATGGAGATTATAATGCGCTGTATTATTATTATTACTATTGTTATAATAATAATATCGGCATAAATGTATTTGATACAAGTATTTAATTTAAGTAATATTTTATATTTTGATATTTTCTAGGAAAAATTTTAAATCGGTTTTCCAAAGATGTTAATAATATGGACGATACGTTACCTTCTATTTATTACCAATTGATAAGAGTAAGTTCGCATTCATTTTGAATTTGTGAAGTAATTTGTATAAATATATAAATTTATTACTTTTATATATATATTATTTTTATATATATTATTTTACATAGATGAAGGGTAATTTTTGACTTTGCAAAATTCACTGAATATCGTTGATAAGTAGAAATTACGTATATTATCAGATCGCATTTTATGTTTCCGTTTGAAGCTATGTAAATGGATGAAATCATTTCACTTTTAATAATTTTAATACAATAACACAATACACTCTTATACTATTTATTTGTTTATGTTTAACATTTTCGACTGTAGAAGATCGCTTTCAAAATTATAAATTCAGTAACTTTCCTAAGCAGATTAACAGATGAAACGTGGACTACCAAACTTTAGCTCTGTCTACTTTTTATAATGCCAAATTCAACTTATTTTTATGCACAGATATTGATATATTATCAATCCATTAACATAACGCAAGAAATGATTAATGCAAAAATATACTTTCTCTTGATAAAGATTTGTGGTATTTGCATTATATCACTCTCTATTAAATGATCGTAACCATGGTTGTAAACCCCTACTTTGACAGACATTGCTGTTATGCAAGGGACATTATAAGTTACAAATTTCTACGGAACATATAAATTGGTTTTACACATTTTTAAAATTTATTTGTTAATAATGTACGTTAAATTTATGAACAATAGTTCATAAATTTGAAAAATAAATATAAATATTTATTTCATTAGTAATTTACGTTGTTCTATTTTAGGGATACAGACTTTATGTTGGCATGTTTTTGATTCAAGCGATAATATGCCCTTATCTACTAATATTAATCTGTGTTCTTTCAATCCTTTTCTATTTTTTGTGGACTGTCCATAACAGAGTGTTGCAAAGCATAAAATATTTGGAAGGAAAATGTAAGTATCAATACTTCAGTTAATGTAATAAATTTTTGTGCTTACGATCAGATTGCAGATTATTTAGATCGAAATTTTTATTGTGTTTTTGAGCAATTGTCTAGAATGATTTCAAAATTCATAACTTTTGTGTTTTTATTTTCTTGGCTGTTATATATTCAGAGAGGGAAAGTATGACGAGCTCAAGACACCTTGAAACGTCGAGAAATGAAAAAACATTCGAAAGTTTTTTCCTATATGTATGGATGTTAGTTTCTGTATGTGTATATGTGTGTGTGTATGCGGGGGGAATTTTATTCACTCTCTTTGAAGCTTGATAACTTTTGTGTTTTATGTCGAAAAATTTCCGAAATTTGGCAGAGGGACTGATGCTTTGGTGATTAAAGATTGAAGGAGAAGAGCGATATAAGGGGCCGTGTGTATTTCCATATGATCGTACTTAAAGACGGTTTTACTCATTATTAACATTTACAAATTTTTTATAAAACCCATCCCTATCTTTAAAAATTAAACTTTTGGCGATTTTATAACAGTTAAAAATATAAATTAAAAAAGAAAGTAAAATATCATAATAGATGACGCCGCGAAATGTTACCAGAAAACTTAAGCAACTCGATGCTGGATTTTTAAATTTTAAATTGTTTAAATTACGCATTTGACATCACGTCGTAAATTGCTAAAAATTTGGTGGACCACGGAATATTTGTAGCATAGAAGTATTGGTTTTATAGAAAACGTTCCTGTCTTAACAATCAGCAAAAAACTTTGCTGTTTTTGTTATATTTAGAGAGATGTTTATTTTTGAATCTATGTATTCGATTTTTGACAACTGTGTGACAATATCGCATAAAAAAATGAAAACATTTTTCCTGGTAGAATAAAGTAATAACATTCATATTTGACTCACTTCAAAATAGAAGATCGGTTTATACAGTTATAAAAATAATTAGCAGATTACTAATATTATCGATAGAGAGCCTGATTTATTTACTTTCTCCTGCAAAGTAATTAACTCTTTCTTCCATGTCCTTCAAACACGAAGTGGTCCTCTCAAATCACAAACAAATCCCATGTTCAATTAGTGTGACTTGAGATGATTTACATCGTGATAAAATTTTGTATGTTTATTTTTTGCGCTTTTTGATAATATTACAATAAAATAAACATAAAAAAACTCATTTCTTCAACCTATGAGTGTTTTTTACTGATAGAAAGTACAAAATTGTGGAAATTAATGATGTAATCATAGTTTTGATGCGCTGATGATAATTTCACAATTTTAGAAAAAATGAAGCCCAACCACAGCACTGATTATTTCTCTTATCTGTTTTTATTGATTTTTAATTATTTGGGAAAAATTCATAAAACACAATTGTCTATCACAAATCTCATCAGAATGTCAAATATCTTCGTAAACTATTTCAGTAATAACTTTTCGATATAACACTCTTTAATGTCTTTAGTTATTGGAATGCAATATGAAAAAAACTGTAGACGAATACATTCCCCCTGGCTGTCTGTCCTTCTTAATTTCCAGAAGGGAGTCAAATAGAAAAAAAAATGATACTAGATATTGAACGAACAGGAACAGGAGGAAACTTAAATCATCCTGAAACCCATTAGTTTCTAGTAAACATTCATTTATAAAATAAAGGTATTTGCTGTGTAAACAAAATTAACTCGATAAATATATATTAATTTATATAATCAATTAATCTTAACTTACAATTCTAAAATCTATTCAATTTCTTGTATAAATTTCTTGTGTTAAATTAATTATTTCATTGCTTATAGATGGAATAATTAGATTATTATACAGTATTTAGGAAAGAACTAATTAAATAATTAAATTATATATAAAAAAACATTATTTTTCCAGATAGAAGTCCAGTATTTTCTCATCTAAGTGTATCTCTTTATGGAATTACAACCATCAGAGCATTTAATGCTGAAAGTAAATTTATATCCACTTTTAATAAATATCAAGATAGACACAATGCAATATGGTTTATTTTCTTAGCGTTAAATCGATGGATTTCTACATATGGTCACATCGTTTGTTTCATAAATATAATTATTACTGTTCTTGTTTTCATCGTTTCAATTAATACAGGTAGGTAAATATATTAAAATTTTCTTTAGTATATAATATAAATAATACTGAATTTGTAATTGCAACTGAAGATGATGCAGGAAGCAAACTCGGACTTGTTATGAATTACGGATTAATGATATTTTGTTACTTTCAATTGCTTATTAAACAAACATCTGAAATGGAATTTCAGGTATACTTTATTTTAAAAACTAACGAGTAAATAAGAAAAGTTTTAAAACACATACTTAAACTCTATTAAATAAAAGTAAAGCTGAAATAAATTTAATATTTATCGAATTTTTCAGATGAACTCGGTAACACGCATTATGAATTATAGCAAATTGAAATCAGAAGCATCATACGAAACGTCATCTGATAAAAAGCCACCATCTGATTGGCCACAAAAAGGTGAAATTCAGTTTGATAATGTTTGTTTACAATATGCCAAGGATAAAAATACTGTTTTAAAAAACTTAACATTTTGTATTCACTCGGGAGAAAAGGTAAAACATTTGAAAAATTCAGGAATCATTACTTGTAATTATTGTCTGAAATTGTTTTTATTATTTATTAATTGCAGATAGGAATTGTTGGGAGAACAGGAGTGGGAAAGAGTTCATTAATAGCTGCGTTATTTCGTATGTCAGAGCCAACAGGAACGATTACAATTGACGGTATTGACACAAAAGATATTGGTCTACAGGATCTACGTAGCAAAATATCGATCATTCCTCAAGTAAACAATAATTAATTTAATCGAAATAATTATTTAATCTTTTTTATATAAAACTTCTAATTTTTAAATGAGATAAAAAAAAAACATATGATACAGATAAGAGGTATAAAATGAGTTTATCCACATATACAGGGTATATTTTTTATCTTGAGGCAATGAAATATCTTAATTGGATTTGGATTGTTTTAAAGAAAAGGTATAGACAAAAGTTGTAGGGTGTTGAGAGGGCAATCAATTGGTGACTTCAGACGTGACCTTGACCTTCAAGGTCATTTGGAGGTCAAGTCTGTTTTTTCAATGGGAACAAATGAGATCAAATTAATATATTTCATTGTCTCGAGATAAAAAAATACACCCTGTATAAAGCAGAATACAAATTATTTAAGTATTTAAATTATTTTTTATTGTTTTCTCTATTGAAAAATTGATGAAGAATGGTTAAATTTTCGTATATCAACTGCCAAATAATGACTCCTTATTTGTAAAATTCAAAGATCTGAATGTATTTTCAAATTCTTCAGAATATAGTTAAAGATTATATTAATGTACAGGGATAATACCATACATAGATATCATAGATACTGGGAAAATAAACTGAAAATTTCTTATTGTACTGTACATATAGGTAATACTATAAATCTTCATTATCATCCTTTGCCACTCGTCACACATCATTTAACGTGATCCAAATCCCAGAATCCACAAGAAAAGCAGTTTAATCGTTGTACAACTCTTGCATCACAAATTATTGTAATTTAGATAAGCGAAGCTCCTGCCTGTAGATCTCAACTGAGAAGTGTGCCAATAAAGATCCTGCTGAGGGTAATTGAACTATTTCACTGGGTCCTGATAGTGTACCTTATGACCTGACAGAGTTAATTCAGGCTAGTTCTGCTCACTTTGAATGCTGCAACATGGCGTCATTTAGAAGTAAATAATTAAACTCACATTTTAAGATGAGTCAAGAATTTTTTTTAATTACAGCATGGTAATTAATCAGGCATTTTATCTAAAGTATTGAATAATTTGCAATTGTCTGGTAATAATTTAGAATTGTTAAAATTCTTCGAGTCGAAATTTGTTTCAATATGTGACAAGCTAATCCACTGGGCAGAAATAAAGGGAAAATTGATCGTTGCTACATGACCACAATTTGTTCGCTGGATCAAAGAAAAACTGATTTTCACACAGAGCATGCATACAAAACTGAAAGTAAGTGCGTTGTTACAAAATGCACAGCAAAAATATACGTATAGCAATTTGTAAAAATACAAAAACTGCTGATAAACTGGCAACATTATTCCATAATTGTTGGAATAATGAATTATTATGTTGTTACTAATTAAGTAGCAAAGTTAATTTGTCAATGCCGTTATACTAATATGCTAACAGTAAGTTTAAGTCACTGTAATTCGAACTTACACAATAAGTTTTTGAAAAAGAAGTAAAAAAGTATTTTCCACATATTTCTAATAGTGTATCCATCAATTCTTTTTCAGGATAATTATTCATATAAATTATTCAAATGTTTAGCTTTTCCATAATGTTAATTCATCCAATTTAACATGAGAAACCGTAAAGTACATTTTATTCAACCCTGATTAATACATGAAATGTTTGTCGTTTTTCCAGGATCCAATGTTATTTACTGGTCCTCTTCGAAAAAATATTGATCCTTTCGATGAATATTCAGAAGAAACTCTCTGGCAAGCAATAGAAGAGGTTAGAAATAAAAAAATACGTATTTGAATTTATGCTACTATTCGATTTAAAATTTCTGTTTTTTAAATGAATGCATTTTTACATTTTTACGTAAAAAATATTTAAATAACAGGTGCAATTAAAAGAAGTTATTGGTAAATTACCTGGCGGATTGGATACACATTTAACAGAAGGAGGGAAAAATTTCAGCGTTGGACAAAGACAATTAATTTGCCTTGCCAGAACCATTCTTCGTCAGAATAAAATTCTTGTCATGGACGAAGCAACATCCAATATTGATAAAAGGTAAGAAGATATGAAATCTACAGACGACATTATGTAATTTCAAATATAAAATTATTTAAGTTAATAATAATTATTGAGAAGATAATTGTTATAATTGTTTACATTGTACAGGTGGGAAAGAGAGTCACTTAACACTGCTGCTAGAGAATATAAAATGTACATTGACCATATCGTGTAACGTGCATAACTCTGTAACCGTTGTAGGTAGGTCAATAAAATCATTTAGCAAACAATCCCTTGTGAAATTGTGACTCTAAAAGATTTGTTACATAACCCTCTTCTCATTTACAGTTTCGTAGTTGCATTCAATGTGGCCGCCATCAAGATATCGGCCGTGCGTGTAACACATCAATCTGTATTCCCCTTATTGTAATGTGTTCCTGATATAAGCAAATTAACTTTGGCTACATTCTATATTCTATAGAGAAATGTTATGTGACTTTTTTTCCCAACCCTGTAGATTGTTTTCTAGTCACTTATTGTTTTAGTTTGAATTATAATCATGTATCAAATAGCTTATTTTTGCACATTAAGCAATAATTATTACTATATAATTCACTTTGTCAAATATAACATTAATAATATTGTACAAAGATTAATTACAAATACACTAAGGTTTTTGAATACACAAATGTATTGTATTCTGTTGTCTGCCCTTCAAACACGAAATAATTTTCGGTATTTTATTTTGATATGTATGAATTTCTTAGAAGTGTTGAACACTAGATCGTGTTTTTAAAACAATCACATGGCTTATTTTAATAAAAGGTGGAGAATAAGCCATGTGATTATTTTAAAAATACGATCTAGTGTTCAATACTTCTAAGAAAATATTACAACATGGTTTCACAACAAACGAACATGTATGAATTTAATAAAATATGTACGATGTATTTTCAGTATACAACTTATCTAAAATATATTTTAGAAAGTATTCAATTGAAATATGATATGATTAGGGATTGCAATTGCTGGATCCCTCATCCAGCAATCCAGCTGGATCCAGCGCATTTTTCGGCCTGCTGGATCGTGCTGGATCCAGCGCTGCGGATCCGCAAATATTCAATTAACTTTCTAAATAATGGTGCGAAAGTTTACGTTGTCAGCGTTGCCGCTTTGATAAGTGCGCTATCGCTCGGCGGCGAGAACGACGTTGCCATTTAGTGCAGCACGTGCTACACTCCCTGTCTACACCGCACCACCCGTCCTTTTACCTCTGCTGATCTAATTGATAGTTGACTTTTCGCTCTCGCTAAATAAAGTGTCTTCGCGCTAAATAAAATAAGTAACATTTTCTCCTAGTCCTGGTGCATAATTCTAATTTACGGTCGGTTGTGACGTCAATGAATCACGTGACAGAACTCCGCTTCAGCTGCGAGACACCGGCACTTTTTCGACTTTGTTTCCTGAATAAATTCGGTGCGCAATAAAACGTTAATGCGAAAAATGAAATAAATAACGTTATTTATTTCATTTTTCGCAGCTCGAAGAAATTAGAGAATTTGAATTTTTTAAAATTTTTTTGAAAAATTTCGGAAAAATTGCGACTAAAAAAATGCCAGGGGGACGTCTGTGACACGCTACATGATCTTAAATGAAAATAGAATTATTTACCACAAAAATGACTCTAACGATTTGGATCAAACTTGGTTAGTTTAGTGAATCGTGTAAATACATATATAGTGGAACTAGCAGCAATGGCAGAGGACATTATGGAGGTGGAAAGCGATGATCCAGATAACACGTATTCCCTGAATTTCACCTTGGAACAAGAATTGGAGATCCAACTGAAGCGTGAGAAAGAAAACTTCATGAAACGGAAATAAATTAGTACTGAGAAGGATTATGATAAGTTATTAAAAAAGGAAATGGCTGTTTATGAAAGTGAAAGAGTCAGAGGTGAAAACTTATCTTTGATTTATCATTATTTGATGACCCCGAAACCAATTAGCGTAGAGGCTGAAAGGGCCTTCTCTGCAGCGGGATATATATGCAGTGCATTAAGAAGTAGGTTGGGAGACAACACCATTAATGCTATTTGTTTTTTGAGATCCTACTTCCAGAAAAGTAAAAAAAATA